CACACACACACACACACAGTTGCTTGTAAATATCACGATAACTAGATATAACTGATTGAAGCCCTTTCTGGAATTTTATACTCCTTTCTTAATTGGTATCTATTTTAATAAAATGCTTTTCCAATTTATTGGAAAGCTGGATCCCTTCATATTTTCATCCTCTCTCAAAGAATTCAGTTCTTCTTGTCCGTATTCATAATCTATCAAATTATTGATAATGTCACTATCATTGAAAGTTTCGTCTTCAATCAAGCGCGGGCTGATGGAGCGTTGAGAGAAAGCAACTGAATGCGCATTGTAGGGAGACTGTTTATAACAAATGAACAAGCGTCTTTAAATGTCTACATTTCAGTGGCGTAACGTACACCCCCCATCACGGGGGAAAGGACTCTAAGGGGCCCAAGGCCTGACTTACGCTAAATACGTATTCTTCCAATTTATAAAATATTAATGGCGAAACCTGACTTTCAGAGGGGAAGGAGGGTCCCAACATTCTCCGTTACGCTACTAGTAAATAGGCATAAAATATTGCATTGGCGGCGCCAAAGCCATTGAAATTCATACACCGCATGAAAAAAAGATCGCATATAAAAACTCACACAAAAATAAATTCGCACAAAAAGAAAATCGCATAAAAAAAGACCGCACAAAAAGATTCTACTGTACAGTGAATTCTTCGACATTCTTTTCTTTTGCAGTTTTTCTTTCTTTTATGATGGGTAAGATATATAAAATAAACATATATTAATTTAAAAAAGGTGGGAATAATTACTTTTTTTATACATAGTGTTTATGAATTTAAAATTTGTTTTATGTGGTTTATATAAAGTATACTAAAAGATAAACTTCTATATAACGAACTTTTATCCGGAATTTAGCGACTTCGTTATATAGAGGTCCGACTGTATATATATTATCATCTGTTTTTTTACAGCACTCTAATACCCCGAACTTATTTGATAGGTGGGACTGAGTGACAACCGAGTAAGTTGAACTCACGAAAGTCGGGGTATAATTTCGCATATAAATTCGTATAAGTTATTTTTAGTAGGGGTAGTTGACAAAAGGAAATAATTATTTAGGGAAAAAAACGTTTAATAAAATCTTAGATAAAGCAAATACAAAATTGCAAACTAAATTTATTTTGATGTAGAAGGTTTCATAATATTTAACAAGTAGTCTACCACACAGTTCAAAGAGTTTTTTTTTCTCCTGCAAAACTTCATCGTAGCATGCTAATATTTTTTTATTCCTTGCTTTGTTGAAAATATACGCTCTTCGTTTGAGTCTATATTTTCTAAAATTTTTTAACCCTCTTTCAATGGGGAACGGTGGCTTTCTGTCAAATTACCAACCGCCATTCAATCTGACTGAACTGGGTCTAAAGACTAATGTTGTTCGATGTCTTTCTCGTGCATTTCTATGATTTCATCCATTGTCAGCTCCTGATGTTGCGAATTCATCACACACACACACAGTTCTTGAACGTCACCACTCTATCCACTTCTAAATTTATTCGTCTGGCAAGATCTACAACTTCTTCAATCAAATTACCAATTTCATCACACACACACAGGCTCTAGCTCTTGATTCTACCAGAGTTTCAATGATGGAGGTGGGGGCAGGACAAATCGACGAACGTAACTCTGAATTCGCGTATGTCGAGGTATTACTGTATCTGTAAAACTACGTATCACACTTTTACCCGTAAGTTCTCTAAAGATTTCCCAGCCTTTTAAAATCTTACATAAAAAAATACATTCTCTCTCTATTTCACACAAATGAAAACATTTTCTTATGGAGACTTTTTTTATGTGGTCTTTATCTACTGCATAGAAAAAAATATTTCTTTAAGAATGTACGAAAAAATATCCTTTTTAAAACCAATTTGTCAATTTTTGTGGATCATTTTCCTATATCTCTCCTCCGCATAAAACGAGTTTTACTATACTGTGTTCAACATTGGTGTGACTTTTTTTAAATCTGGGCTATTGCGGATATGTGTTAATATGGTTTTCTTCCTTCTTAAATTAAGATCTGTAATTACGGGAGTTCGAGAATAAATTACAATTTACTTCAAACGAACCTTCCTGTTAATTGCGTTGACTTTTCCTCCATTTGAATACGATCTACTACACAACCGCTCTATTTACAGTTTCTTAACGGTGCATATGATGATTGAGCTAAAACATTTTAGTCCAGTAGATGACCCTTTAAAACTCCGATTTCCAATCATAAGATCGAACACTGGACTGAAAAAAATTCCGGGAAAGTAAAGAAAAATTTTAATTACCGAAAGTTTTATATTAAAGGATCTAAATCATCTACCAATTAAGTAATAAACAATATTATTTATATTCAATAGTTGGTATACCCTCCATCCGAGGCAATTACAGTCTTAACCCTCTGGGGTATGTTTTCCACAAGTGTTTTGGATGATGGACAATGTGGTATGTTTTCGGCAACAAGTTATTGGTGACGGAGGAGAGACCCATAGTAACCTTGAGGGCTGCTTGGGTGAAGTGTATTGGACCTGGTCACCTTCGAGTCCGAAGCATACGCCTTAGACGACCGAGACTAAAGTATAACTAAAATTAGATGTACGCGGGTGACAGCACCGCAGGCGCTTTTACCCAGTAGGTTGGGTGAAAAAAGAAAATCCATGGAGAGAAATAAACAAATCAAGAATACTTCCACAGAATTGGGGAGGTATGACGTAACCCCAAACACGAGCGTTCTAACAAAGCAGGCGCCGGGGGGTTCAAAGAGAGGAAATGGAAGGAAGGAAGTGGGATTACCGAGGCAATCAATCAGCAGGGTGCAGGTCACCCCTTTGACCCAGTCTTTGATGCGATGCAGAAGCTGACTATGTTAATAATGTGTATAAAGGGTGTTTTTGTTGTGTTATGGGGGCAGAGAGGGTTTCTCCACTTCGTCGAAGAGTACGCATAATTAATTTTAGGGTGTGGATAAGTAAACAGTGTTTGTGCTCTAAAAAAATATCAACAGCACGCGGTGTTCCCAGGTGGTCTTCCTCCCAAGTACTGACCGCGCCCGATGGTGCTTAACTTCGGCGATCGAACGAGAACTGAGACGAAAGGAATCCCTATTCGGGATTCCTTTAAGGGCTTTTATTCCGGTCCTTTGTTGTTTGCGACTTGCAGAAAGAGGGGGCCACTGAATGTTCTTTCACTTGACTTGGAGAGGACATGCAAGTTCTTTCTCTGGTTTCTGACAGTTGCTGCAGCCTTAATTTGGGGATCCAACTCGTCCCAGAAGTTTTCTACAGAATGCAAGTCTGGACTCAGAGAGTAGTCCAGTCGGTTCACCCCCTTTGTCATAACACTAATCCATGGTAGACCTCGCAACATGACAAGTTGCGTTGTCATCTTGGAAGCAACAATGATCCAGTCCATAAAATTTCCACAGAGTAGGATGCGCATTTTTGTCTAGAATAATGGTGTAGTCATCAGTGTTTCGCTTATAAATTGGGATCAAGGGTCACAGGCCATACCACGGAAAACATCCCCAGATCATAATTCCACTTCCGCCAAGCTTTACTGTAGTCCCAATGCATTCTAGAAAAAGGCGTTTTCCGGGCATACACCAAACCCGGACTGCCGACTTTTGGATATTGAATCTTAATTCGTCACTCCAGAGAACCAGTTTCTATTCATCTGTGGTCAAATTTCGTAGCGTCTTCACCACATCACTCGAGCAGCATGGTAGAATTTTATAATCAAAGGCTCATGTCCGGCAGCAAGTCCATGGAAACCAAGCACAAATGCTCTTCCTTGTGGATGGAATATATCGAAAAAACAGTCCCGGATGTTTGTTGGAACTCTTAGAATATATGCAAAATCAGTTGGGTGTGGTTTTTCAGAATTCCTTTGGACATCACTCGCCGGTCTCAATCTCTTTGTTTCGTGGATCTTCCGGATCGAAGCACATTTCAAGAATAACCATTCCCCTTTTCAATCACAAAACCCACTGTTGAATTTGGAATGCTTACCTTACAAGATATGTCCCTTAAAAATCAACCCTTTCTACGATATCGGACAACTATGACCTTCTCGAAGTTAAACAGCTCTGAGTTTCGTGGCAACTAGTATGAGACTAATGCCAATTCTCAAGAAATGTGTGCGGGCATACGGATTACTGGAAACCCTCAATCCCGTATCTGGAAAAAGTCTATTAGATGAAACGACGAAGTTGGAATATCATGCTAAGGTGTACTGCATGGCTATTGAACGAGCGGCGGCGGGCCAGACTAATGCCAAAGTTGTTTTCCACACGATATTTAAGTACAGAAGGCGTGACGTAGATCAGGACCACAGATATCTTCATTTGCATGAGTGTCCAAATACTTATTGGTAGATAGTGTACTCTTTACACTCCTATTGTCTCTGAAACTTACAAAATTAATTTTATGAAATTTGACATTAAATGACTTTTAAAATAAATCAGACAAGCAAAAGAAACCAGATTCTGTTGTAGAAAAATTTTGTTTTAAAAGGTGCATTAGATTAAACATTCTAATTAAGCTAATTACTATATTTAGTACTTTATTTGTTTCCTTAAACATATTAACACTGAGGCCATTTTTGTTGTCTGCGATTGAAATTGCGGAAATCATTATGGGCGTTCCGTATTTTTTGAGGCTGAACATTAATTAAGCCATGCGAGTTGTTAATTATTATTTGCTTGAATACTATTTCGGTAAAAGCAAGATCAAATGGTGACTAATAAATGTAAAAGAAAATCTTGTTTTTATATTTTCAATTTTTATTTTTGTTCTCCTTTAATAAAATAAAAAGCAACAATCATCTGGACATGATAAATATATAATAACAAAAACCTTCTGAATGTAACATTTTAGTTGATATTAATGGACCCTCTTGATTACCTGTTTCTGATTAAGTTAAAGCCCCTCCTAAAACAGCAAATTAGCCTTGTAATTTTCGTCCACAGTTGAATGACCAGGGGGACAGCCGCGCTCACTTCCTACTCCCAACTTTCACAACTCACCAACATGAGGACTTTCAGCTCTTAGGGCTTGCAATCCCATGTTATATTTTCAATCCCGGGATTTTGAAATTAGATTACCCAAATTCCGGGATAAGGATTGGACTATTTATGAAAAATACTTACACATTAGCGTAGTTGAAATTACGTAATAAAACTGAAAACATAGTTAAAATATTGGTTTAATATTATTATTTATTGAAAAAAATCAAAACGATACTTAATTCATCAAAAAAAAAAATAGTACATAATGAAATTATTGGGTGTAAGGGAAAGCTGACATTTTTTTTTCCTAAAGAAAAAAGAAAACATTTTTTTTTTCACACTTTATACTTTATAATTTAATATTAAATATAATGTTTTTCGTTAGTTACAACTGTCTGCCTGCAATCTGGAAGCTTATCTAATCCCCTAGAAAAGAAGTTCTCTATTTTGGAGTTAAAGTATTCTTACACTGCCATTTCGACACCCTCATAATTTATATATTCTTTCCCATCAAAAAAAGTTTTACAACGACCTGAATAAAGGATAGTCAGACGGGGAAATATCAGGAGTATACACTGGCTGAGGTAAGGTTTCCTAACTCAAATCTGCAATTTTTTATACGATCTCTCTAGCCACGTGTAGTCTAGCGTTATCGTGACGAAAAGTCAGGAGGTTTATGTTGAATTCTTTATACAAAATATCAAGATGCGAACAGCAACGAGCGCATTTCATTTTCTCTCAGTAACTCAGATTACACTATACCAGGGGTGGCGAACCTTTATGGATCACCGTGCCATTTCTTCTAAAGTAGTGTTTAATGAGGTACAGACGTGCCGTCAAATAATTTCGACTTGTGATTATTGGGAAAATAATAAAACTAAGTACTAAGAACACACAAAACTCTTTATTTACTACGAAAAAATACCTTTTGAACCGTATATTTGTAAATGTTTTAGTTGTACGTGTATAAATCAAATTAAAGTAACATTTGTGTGAGTTCTGTTGTTGCAGATTGTGTGTGTGTGTGGATGACATCTTATATTAGGATTGTAAAATATTACATTTAGTAGAACGCATGCTCAATTGGAGTCATCTGCCAATCTGTTTTTTAAGCAATTAATTGTTTTTGCCGTGGTTCACTCTTTTGACAAGAGGATTTGTGATTTGTTACAAAATGCCGTTTTACAGACGATGTTCTGCATACCACTATTCCAGAACATAAAACACACACTGCTTCACCGCCTTCAGTAATAATGCCATATTTTTCGATTTACTAAATTAGAAAAATTCTCTCTTACACTTACTATCTTGCCCTTTTTATTCCTTTACTGAACTAGCCATGCTAAATACGACACAGATAAACTTTAAAATACAATTGTGTCAATTAAATTGACTATGCTGTGCGTAGACAAACTTTGAATCATAAGCAATTGTATAGTCCACGACGTAACTAAGACAAATCAATAATAAACGAGTGTGCTCCCCGCCATACCGCCTTTTATTCGTAATACTTCATAGTGAACTTTGTTATTTTGAAATAAAATGCAAACAATTTTGATCGCTTGCGTACCCAAAATATTGTGTTGCATGCCATGAATGGCACGCGTGCCAATGGTTAGCTATTCTTGCACTATACCCTTGCAGTCTCATTAACAATACAACAAAACCTTCCTCTGATGCTCTCCATCTTTGTATGCCTCTACTTTGGAAACATATGCTTTTTTTAACTACATGTGTTTATACACTATTCACTTTTCATCTCCATTCATCATGTGGTCCAAAAACGATTCCCTTTCGTAACGAGCAAGATTTGAAGAACATATCGAAATTCCGTCCATTAAATTTGTTTCACTCATATCACGTGGTACACAAACAGAAAGTTTGGACACGAAACCAAACCTTTTAATGTAATCCAAAACAGTAGTCTGATGAATTCTAAGCTTGGAGCCCACTTCTGTGAAAGTTAACCTAGGATTTGTCTATAGATCATTTTCCTTAGCACTTCGTCACTGATATCTGATGGCCTTCCTGATCTGGGTTCATCTTTCAAATAAAAATCACCCAAGCGAAATTTCACAAGCCATTTTTGGCATGTTCGAGTTGTTACTGCGTCCTCTCCAAAAAGTCACTCAAGTGTGTTTTTGTACCTCCATCGTGTTATTTCCTTTTTGGAACTTAAACAACTGTGAACTTTTTCTTCACTCATTTTGACAGTTTTACGAGTATGAAAAAACTGATAAAATGTGCGAAAAATTGTGTATAAATCATCAATAGTACACGAGTCTAACTATTTAAGGTAGCCGACTACGTTCGGAACCGTAATTTTGCAAAAGCGTGTAAATGGATAATAATTATGATATTTAGTGTCACTTAGATTAGAAAATGTATATGAAATTGTTTTAAGAATAGTATTACAATATAAAATGATTTAAGTACAATATTTTGACAAAAAATAAACATAGAATGACCAATTTTCAAAATATTCTCCTTTTGTGAAAAATGCTTCTATTTTAATAATATTTTGTCTGTATATAGATCAGATCTCTGTACAGAGGCTCAACTAGAATTTTTGAAATATATAACTTAGAAGTGGGTTTATCCATGTTTTACGACAACAGAGGGGAGACATTTTACGAAAAAAAAAATGCCGATAATTATTTAACTTAGTTGTAATTCTGAAAATAATGTGAATTTTTCAAAAATCATAGTTGAGCCTCTGTACAGAGGTATGAGCTATATACAGACAAAATATTATTATAATAGAATCAGTTTTCACAAAAGGAGAACATTTTGAAAAAAGGTTATTCTAAGTTAATTTTTTGCCGAAATATTGTATTTAAATACTTTTTTTGTCAAAATGTCCTTAAAATAATTTTATACATGTATTCTAATCTAAGTGACACTAAATATAATGAAAATTATCCATTTATGCACCTCTTTAAAATCACGGTTCCGAACGTAGTCGCGCGGATACCTCTTAAACAGTTATTCGAATTCTTGCAAAGGATCGACAACGCATAAAAGTGCACGTGTTCAGAAATGACAAACTTTCCCTTATATCTAATAAAAAAAAACATTTCT